GGGGAGAAAAAAAAAAGACAAACTGCAACAAAAAGCAGATTTATAAAAATATACAATATCTCATTAGCTTCTGGGCACTCAAGTGCATTTATCACATATTTAAAACAAACTTGAGCTCAGCTAAGCCCAATTATAATATCTCGCTGGGCAGAGAAATTAATTAAACAGCAGAATGATAAAGACCCCAGCAGCAAACTGAGGCTTTAAAATAAATAAGATCCTTTTTTTTTCTTAAGAAGTGGTGAAAGAAAGAAACCTATAATACACATGTTCAAACAGTGATGTAAGCAATCTTTTCAGGAGTGCAATGCACCGTAAATAAGACTACCAGGAAAGCGAACGCAGCGGCATCTCCAACTTTGCAATTTGCTAATGTGCAACACATGCATCCCTTTTGCACCAAGTTCAAATAACCCTGGGATCCCAGCAGTGCAGCTCAGCGACTGACCCAGAACAAGGGCAGAACTTGTCAGGATTTAAGAGCTTTCAGCAAAACCCTTCAATTGCAGCCGGTACCCTATTCCATAGAAGGATATCAATTATAGATAGTGACTTGCTTTAGCAGGGCAGTCGGTACTGTCAGACACTAGATAGACAACCATGAAGAATCATGAATCTTTCTATTAACTGTAAGAGAGGGGGGCAAAAAAAAAGGATGGATAGGTGCAGAGCGTCAGAATGGTTTAACATCTTGCCTTTCGGTGTATGTATCATGAAAATTTAACCATACTGAATTCTAAGTGGCACATATCGCTTGAAAATAAGAGCTCCCGCACCAAAATCACTGCGGTGTCAAACCCTTCTGGGTGGGTCAATAACGATACTTTTATGTAGCTTTTTAGTTATTTATTCATAGCAGCCCAGGTTCTGTTCATAAATTCAGCCAGAAAACATCGTCTCTTGGGGCCAAATCACACTTTCACTAGCACCCACATTTTACACTAATAACAGGATGACTTTGCTACAGAAATAAATGGAGAAAAATGCCATCTAATGCTGACTATTGTGCCCAAAACTGCAATTTCTGCTCTAAAGCTATATCACATATTCAGACACAGCTATGTTTGTATTTACTGTTTCATATATGGTATATCACCCATCACTTTATAATGCAGATATTGTTAGAATCTGATTCACCTACAGCTGATTTCAAACTAAACCGGGTCCTATCATTCCCAAAAAGATAATAAACCTATCCTCATGTGACAGAAAGACCAGAATATGAACAAATTCATATTTCCCTCTTTCAAAACACATGCATACGTGCTTGTGTGTACTTCCTACACATGACTGGAGCAATGACATCTATAATGTGAACTGTGTGCATTGTGTATTGTGGAAAAGCTCTCCTGAGCTCTGCTCAACCTGGCGTGACTAGATTTCATGCTGAGGTCCCTAACCCTTTAGGAAACAGAACAAATGGCTAGAAACATACTTCCATCTTTTCCCTAAACACTGGAGTTCCTCTAAAATTCCAGTGCTTTGAGATGCAAGGCTTGGAAACAGTCTGTTCTGGGCCATCAGACATTTTGGGTCTGATATCTTACTATCATGTATGGCTACGAACAGTAGCTTTATCCCCTGGAAAAAAAGAAAAAAACACAAATTCATTAAAAGACTTACTGCTAGCCTGTGTAGATCTTGAAAACTTAGCTTTATCAGGATGTACAAGAACACTTTTTAGGTCTTCCCTCTCTTCCCAGTTGAACTTCCAAAGCCCAGGGAACTAGTTTAGAGAATTGTACATGTGAAAGAATACTGTAAATACTTCCGAGTCAAATATACAAATGCCTTTTCCTTTCTACTGAATACATGTTACATAACACATACTAAATGAAGTGGGTGACAGGGAAGGGGTTTCTTGCAATCCTTTGTGAAGCTCTACATAGCTCACTCTAGTTTCACTACACCATTCACTTGACTACCCATGGTATGGGCAAGTAGGTGTGTGCATACAGTATGATGCAGTATCACACGTGTAGTTCTGTATCACACCCATCCAACTTCTGAACACATGACCGTAGCTCTCTGCTCATGCTAATCACCCTTTCTGAGTGTCAGGGAATACAGGGAAGCCAGCAGATGTTATCTTGATGAGCCTTGCTAGGGCAATTTAAACCTTTATTGCCTTCACGCCAGTTGCCCCTGCCTGGATGATTACTGCCCCACAGTGAGTTAACAAAACAGGATGGTTATCTATACTTATGATGTCCCAGATGGCAGTCCACCATCTCACTTCAAAACCCCCTTCAAGCTCGGCTGGACCAAGGGAGGCTCTGCTGAGTCTGCCAGTGGGCTGGGCATCACCCACAGAGCAGCAGCGCCTGCAGCCAGGAGAGGCAACTTGGCAAAGCTCGGCTCGGCTGCAAGGTTTGAAGGTTAACAGTGTGATCCTAGCTACAGTCCTACCTGTACACCAGCCAGCTCAGGTACCTCCAGACAGCATTGAACAGCTCAATGTACACGGCCCTGGAGCCACAGGGTGAGGATCTCATGCCCATACCAGGTCCAAGGCAGGAACTCACCCGGTGCAAAGACATGGAGGTAAGCGCAGTTAACGGCAACTTGTGTCTACTCAGATTTATGCACCAGTATTTGGGTAGGAGGCATACATGAACGACATCAGTAGGGGGAATTTCAAGGACCAAACTGCTGCTTGGGAACTGAATGCTTTCTGCCAGAGTCACACACCTAAGCAAAACCAGGACTGCCTTCCCGTGAAGACCTACAGAGCCCTGCACTTCATTTCCCTAGTTGCTGCAGCTGTACATCATATGGCTGTGGCAATCAAGGGCAGACAAAATGTGGGAGAGACAGACCAGGGTGAAGCGAAAGACTTTCAGAGTTAGACATCTAAAGCCCTTTGCAATTCTGGACAGAAATAACTCACTCAAGTCCCCACAGCAGGGCTCTGTCAGAGCAGTAAAAGAAATCACAAACCAGGGCCCCATCACTGAGTCACGCTGGCTCTTACAGCATGATTTGCGCTACTTCAATGTGATGGTTGCGATGATGATGATGATTTTATTGTCTTCAGGGTATCGAGTCAGGACTTGCACCTCGTAATCTTAAATGCCATCATAACATATCAGAATCCTGAGCCCTGACAAAGAGAACTCCTTGTATCGTAGAAACATTTTTTACTTGCCTTCGTTATGTCTAGAGAAACCCATTTCAGACGTTGCCATTGTGCAGAGACATAAGAAATACACTTTTTTTCAGTCTTGCTATTTACCCTTATAGTACTGTCAGATTTGCTACAAAAAAATCACATCAGAAACAACAAATATATTTAAATAAAAAAACTCCACCCAACCAAACTACCACATTGTCAATTTAATTCACCTGAAACTACAGAACATCAGCTATTAGCTAACAAGCACAGTGGAATTCAATTAAAATTTACGTCTGAAACTTCAAAAAAATCTCCCTTTTCTTCATTACCAACGGCACTTTCATTTTGAATTTCTCTTTTATTTAATATATTTTGGTGTAAATTATTGATCATCATGACCAGGATAATTTCTGAATATTGAGAAAGGTTTGCCAGGCATCATAAAGCTTCAGCCTTACAACAATTGGCAAATATAAAGCCTCTGCCTGTGCAGAGCCCGAGATGACATCAGTCGGTCTGTTTGCAGGGAATGTAAGACCGACACTTGATCTTTTAAATGTGTCTGACCCTTTGCAGCAGCCATTCATACAGCATTTCTTCCCAAAAAGATATTATGACACAGAAAGAGCCTCTCCTCACATTTCATCTTGGCCTATTAAAATGTTAGGGTGCAATGTTCGTGCAAAACATGTCCATAGGATTCTTTAAAAAGTCACATTTTTGACATTATTTTAGTTTGTGATAGTCTTTCATTTATTATTATTGTTATTATCACTGTTACTACTACTCCTACCTAACAGTAACAAGAAACCGAAAATACATCTTGATGAATAACTGCAACACCAATAGGCTCTCACACTCCAGGAGGCGAAAGCTGGCATTGCTTCACTAAAGCCAGCTTTGCAGCATCAATTTACCATTTTGCATGGTGTTTGCAAATATATCGTGGGGATTTTTAATTTATTTTGGGTGGAAAGATACATTTTTGAACAAGCTAGTTCAGTGTATTGGCCACATTATGATTTTGCATTATCTCCAGGAAAGCATGAAAGAGTTTTCTACAGTAAATAGCATTCTGACACACTGATCATATGCTGAAGATGTTCCTCTCTAATCTGTACCAGGAATTCCTTTTTCTTTCGAGTATTTAGATATGTTGTATGATGCTGGTAATTAAGAGAGGTGCTATTAGCTAAGGAGGTTGGAAATGGGGGGGATTCGACTTGCCAGGTTATATTCTAGATTTTGATTATTCATTTTCTAGCTCACAATACTACAAAATAGTAAAAATCATTTATTTTGGAGAAGTAGTAGAGAGGAAGAAAAAACAAGGCAGATATGACTAATATTTGCTGTAGCCTAAATAAGACTATATAGTTAGCTTTTACTAAAAAGACTGAAACAACTCAGTCTCCACCTATTTAGCCAAATAATTCGCGTCAGTTTACACACAACAGTAAATTGAGAGCAAAAACTCCCACAGGGAAGAGGAAGAGTTCCCCTTGCCCCTTTCTACTGTTACAGTCCCTTTTTGGGAGAAAAAAATCAAACCTGGCTAAAAGTTAATAATAATTCATGTCCAGCTTACTATTACTCAATAACTATCAAAGTCTCTAACTCAAAATAGCGTTTGCTGGCTTACACGATCAGAGCCATTACAGCCTCTATTGAAGACTTTATTGAATTTTACACTAAGCTTTAGCTGACTGAACAGGTCAAGCACTGTGGCTTCGAGTTTTCTTTATTCTCAGAAACTCATAAAACCCTCTCCAGTTTGCAGCGCTGTTAGCTAAGAAACTTGACTCAGCACAGGGTCAGAGAACATGACCCCCATGAAAAAGGTCACGTAGTTTTAAAACTTAGTTCCTGAATACTATTAACTTACATGCACTAGCTGCTCCTGCGTGTCAAACTCCCGGGAACAGCCTTCCCAGTGGCAGTTTGTCTCGTAGACCACTTCAGGCTCCTGTTTGCTTTCATCTTTGTCCCCTTCCTCTTTTACCAGGGTCATTCCTTCTGGCTGTTCCTGGAGAGAGGAAAAAAAAACACAGGTGAGCAGAGAGGAAATTCTGAAACTGAGGAGGAAGAAAAGTAAATTATTTCAGCATTAAAAGTAGGATGGGGGTGGGTGTGTATTTTACTCTCAGTTCATTCTATTACTCTGTTCTACAAAACAGGAAAGCGCAAAACACGCCTAGTAAGCCAAAAAGTCATGTGCAGACTATCTGTGTAAAATAAATTCTTCCTCCCCAGAAGTAGTCACTGCAGTGAATTTCTGAAAAAAAAAACCAAAAAACAAAAAAAAAAAACACCAAACCCTTTACATTTCAATTCATAAAGGCTTGGCTTCTCTCTCCCCATATTTAACCAGGTCTTTATTTGTACACTTGCCCCTTATTATTCAGTGGTACCACTACTGAAAAAGGCACTATTCAATATAGTTTAACCAACTGGAATTTGACTTTAGTGCTACGGTTAGAGACAAACCAGGTCACCAGTAATCCCAAGTGTGTTTTCACTGTTAATCCAGCGACAGTTTTGCACACAAAAACCTTTCCAATAGCAGACTGGTAATTTTCAGGCTCCTTGTTAGTTCATTCCTGCCTGTAATCTGTGCATGAAAGGGGCGAGCAGGAGAAGGAGTATTTAATTTTACGTCTTGACTTTCCACCTTCAGTTCCTCAAGGTGCCTCATCCTCCCCAGCTTGTTATGTGCTCAGGATAAGGGTCAGATGCTACCATGAACATTTGGTTCAGATTATGCACTCACGCTATTTTTCCACTTCAAACCTCCTGAGGGATATAGATGGACCTCTGCTTTGTTTTCATGGATTCACTCACAAGATTGAGGCTCTGACTCTCATCTTCCCCAAGCCGTTGTACATCAGGAGTCGCTCTACTAAAACCAGTGGCGCTAACTGGTGTAGAAAGGATAGCAAACGAGACCCGTGCCTGACACTGGGGCCTCAATGCAGTACAGTGCTACAACCTGGTAAAAGCCCACGTGCTGGAAATACTCTGGCTGAACAGAAAATACGTCCCCCTGAGTCCTAAAAGTTTCTGGTTCGCTTTTCCACAGCGAACAGAGGGTTGAGCACACTCTGCCCTCAAGATGCACCACAGCCCTGTAACCCAGCAGCCCCTCACCGCCCAAAATTTAACCCTCGCTACCATGAGCTGCAGCCACCCATGTGTGCACCAGACCAAGGGCCACACAAGGGCAGGAAGCCTGAAAGCACGTGCTACAGGCAAGGTGCATTTTCCCTCTGGCAGCGAGGTGAAAGGCTTACGACTGTAACCTGCCCGCCCTACCTGCACGCTTCCTGCTCCAGGGCTGGGGAGCTCCTCGTCGGGCTTTATCTTGGAGCGCTTGTTGTGCATGGGATCTCCGGTGCTGCTCACTGCGGATTCGCTTGTGGGTTTATTCTGCTGCAGGCAGGTTTTTTTCCCCACCAAAAAGACAAAATTAGACTGAGATAAATACGTTGCTCCATTTTCCATATAATTATGACTTCAGAAAGGCAATTTTGAAAAACGAAATCACTGTGTACTAGTTTGAATCAACACAAGAAAAAGATGGGGTTTTTTTCCCACACTTTGAGGAAAGGTTTTGCACCTTACATCTGCACACAAGATCTCAGGTCTTTTACTGTGCTTCCCATTATAATGGTGGACAGAAGAAAAACTGAATGCTAGTGTGTTGAAAAATCCCAGATGAAGTCCTGGATTCTCCCAAGTCAATAGAAAAACCACTGCTGGCATAAACAGGCCAGAGTCTTGTTTTTCTCTTGCTGTGCTAGACTGAACACCATTATCTACACCTGCAAATGGATCTTGTAGGAATCCTGAGATCTTTTAGAGATATCTGAACTTGCATGGACCCCACAAAAAATCAATATGCTTCCTATAGCAGTATGTCTTGCTTCTGTACTTGTGAAAGCTAGCCAGGAGATAAACAGCTCCCAGACTGATAAATAACCTACCCCAGGTCATCTGGAAACAAACAGCGTTAGTTAATAACAGGCAAACCACGAACTGCGATAAACTCCAGATTATGGGCCTGATTCACTGCTGCACATCCCCAGCTTTTGAGAATACACCTTGGTTTTAACTGAAACGATTAATTCAAACTCAGTAAGTCTAATTTTGCACAAATCGGAGAAAAAACCTTCAAACCTCTGCACTATCTTTGAGTTCCTCTGTTGCTCACTTCGAGCTAGTCACACCCGTGTCAGGAGGGCAGAATATGACCCTGTGTATATTACAGTCAATGCGATTTGGAGGTGAGGCTGCTGATCTTTAAAAAGTTAGTGCGTTGGTGCGTTTTTCCCCCTTTTCTTCCTCCCCACCTCTATTAAGTTCCTGCATAAGATCCAGGAGAGACAGTTTGGAATGAGAAGCTGCTGCAGCACGCTGAAATATTTATGAGGACTAAAAAGCACGCTACCAATCAGGAACCATGCATACACTCCTGTGATTTATAATAAAGGGGCTGCAAACGCTATAGAGGCAAGAAAACTGTTATCGAAGGGTCTTGGTGACAGTGGTGATTAATTGCCATTGAGACAATATCATTTGTTGAATTTATTTCATTTTTAAATTAATGGAGTCCAAAGGTTTCTTTTGTTGTCTCTCACCTGTGTGGACTCAGAAGGTCCAGAGCTGACCTGGACAGGGTTCAGGACACTGGGGATGCCGGGGATAGGTCTCTGGGTAGGAAAAGTTGGAGCAGGATGGATGAGTGGAGGGCTGTGTCCAAAGGCTGAGCCTAGGGTTTGCTGACGACTTAAAATTTGCTGATGCATTTGCTGGAGGGATACCGGCGTGGGAGGGTATGTGAAACTCAGAGCAGGGCTGAATTTGGGAGAAAAGGGAGGAAAGAGGAAGGAAAAAGATTAGGGTCATTACAATATGGAACCATACAAATGAAATGTTTAAAATGTATTTGATATATTTATATTAATTGAAGTCAAGTCCCTCCCTGTCATGTCTTTCTTCATGCCCCAAAGGATGATAGATCCTGCTGTTAAATCCAGAGTTGGCCTGGATTTACTAGTGAGTGCAAAAATTGTACAATAGCAAAAGATAACATTTTTTCCTAACATCTACCAGGAAATCACAGAAAGCCAACCGAAATAAAATTCAGAAAAACTGAAACAAAAGGCAAACAGTTCAATAACAACTATTTATTGCAATAACAAACTTTATATAAAGAAAAAGAATGGGTGCCTACATGGTTTATAGTACTTTTATTGATAATGCAGTTCCCCTATGTTCGCGTGTACAAGGCAGTTCCTTTAATCTTGGCTCATGCTACGCTCTTTCATATGTCTCTAGATCTTATTACAAGAGGAGAGAAAATCAATTGGTTAAATGTGTTCTGAACACCATGCTTGTCATATCACTCATTTGTTTGCAAAGATGGAAAGCTCAGTTCATCCAGAATGTCACCTAAAGAATTTCCATCAGTGCCGTTTGGTTACAGAAACTGATGGATTAACCTTTCGCCTCTGAAATTGGTGATCAATGAGTTTCAATGTAGAAATATTCCAATGGGAAAGCACTTCTCCTTCTTCCAGTTAAACAACATTAAATGCCTATTAAAGCCCATTACGCATGTTAATACCTGTCATCACTTCATTACTTCACCGTATTTCCCAGACTACAGTGACTCGGGAGGAAATTACACTGCCATCTAAGGACCTATTCTGTGGGTACTGCCAAAGCATTCTTTGTGTCACACTCGAGAAATAAATGGTGTGGAACTAAATCTTCACACACAGGAATACGAGATTCTCCTGTAAACATCTGCCAATAGCTTACAATCATAGAAGGAAAAGAAAAAAAAAAGAGAAAAGAAAAAGTGTGTTCATTGATTTTTTTTTTTCTTAAAAAACCCACCAAACAACCACAGTTCAAAAGAGCCATAGAAATTTAAAACATTAGGTCTTAAAAGAGAGGGGTGCAAGTATAATACCTTTTAAGAATCAAGGCTTCTTCTAATGTCAAAAGGTTAGATTTAATCCAAATTTACAGTCTGGAGTCTTAATTGCTGTTGCTGTTAAGGGCATTAACTGAAAATACCGTGATACAAAGAGAGCTAAAATCATTTCAACCATTTTAAGTAATAATTCTACAGAAATGTTCTGTTCATTAATCTGACTATACATTTTGTCTGTTTGACTACAATCCATAAAGACACAGCTTCAATGTGATTACATTACTATTATTCCTGGTGAGAACTCTGCATTACAATAGTTTGCCCATTTAGGACAGAATATCATTAAGAATACCCTGAGAGAATCTTACTGGTCTTTGAGGAACTCTCTTTTCATTTTGCATTGTATTCTTTTTAATAAAGGGAGGCAGAAACGTAGTGAAAACAGTAATTGTTCACAGCAAGACTTAGGGAGAAATCAGTAATAATATTCAGTTATTGCAGCTCTGTAGTCCCTGCTAGTGTTCCTGTAAGCAACCATGAATGATTACAGCACGACTTGGCTAAGGTAGCCACTATGGATGATTGATAGGACATTAATCAAAAGATGCATATCAGGCTCAGAATTTGTTCACAAGCTTTCTTCTAATAGCTGATTTCATGTTCACTGAGCTCTATGCCAGTTTGTTCAATTTATTCTTCAGTGTACAAGCCATTCATCAAAGAACACAATGATTTAACACCCCTTTCCCTTTTTAGTGAACAAACATTACTAAGTGTAAGTACTCCGGTCTGTTCATTAAAAAACATACAATTACAATGTCATACATGAGGCTAAAACAATGCCTCCTTACCATACCCTGTCATTTTTTGCTTCTATATACACTGTGAGCTCATCTCATGTACTTCAAACACTAGACGGCACCATCCTGAAGATGTTACCAGATTCACCAAGACCAATAAATGCAGAATACAAATAATTTGGATGAAGTATTTTATTTCTCTATGAGTGGTTAATGCCTAGGACATATTCATCTACCAGCTGAATCAGTTTAAAAGAAAAAAAAGTGAACTGATTTCACTGGGAGCTCCAAGTACCCTTGGAAATACAGGGTGGCTGGTGGTTTTGGTTTTTTTTTTCCTTTCAAGGTGTTTATGCATGCACAACAATACGTAGCTTTGCAAGTCCAGGTTCAAAACTTTGGCAACATTCTTCAGATCCTACATGGCAAAAAGACAAATGTGATCCAGCCACAAGATATGACTGACTTAAGACCTCGACTCAGAGATGTAGATCCTGCCCATCACTGCTCTGTGACTACAGTCACATGAGCACCTGCATCTAACATTGATTTTTTAACCTATCCAAAACAAGAGCACAGGAGATCCCTCCCAAACAGCGCAGGAGGGCAGGAGAAAACTGCTGTGATCTAAATATATTTTTATCTCAGTAGGAGGCTGCTAAGGTGCCAGTGACTAGTGACTCAGGAAGCTGGATGCTGAAGAGAAACCTTTGGCCCCAAGTAGGAAACAGACTGTAGAAGCCCCAAGATGTATACGTACAACTTGCACTTAATGCACCTCGTTTATATTTACTGGAGTCTGGCAATATTCTCCAGTCGGTCCTTCCAAAGATGGGAAAAGACTGCTGTGTCAATAGGGTATTTTTGGTCAAGCATCCCTCCTTTGGGTTGAGTCTGAGGTACCAGGATTTTCCTACAGAGCCTGGCAACCTGCACTTCATTCCCTCTACCTCCAAACTTCTCAATGCAATGAAAAGGAGACCATGAGGGAGCAGAGGAATAGCCAGCACAGCTAAGGGGAGTACTCAGACATGGTGACAACAGTTCAGCCACCAGGGTGATTTCTTAAATAGCTCAGATAGCTGCCTTCAAAGAATTTTCTCCAGCTGTTTCTGAAGAGCTTTTCATAAGGCAAGATGACCTGGCTGGGTTTAACGTCACCCTCTTGCAAGATGCTATCACAGGGCAGCCTGGACAATTTTTCTGATCTGAAAAGATCAAAAGGATCTGAAGAGAACAGAAGGTGGCAGGTCTTTCTCTGCCTTTCAGAAACCATTCAGGCTGCTCGACAATAAAGCTGATGTTGTGGGCCAAAAAGAAGAAAAAGAAATCAAAGCCTGCAATGTCGCTGGCAAGGAGCGCTCTGTTGGGAAGGGGAGACCTGGATTCCTGCATTTCTTCCCAAAGTTTTTAACACACTTTGTTCAGTAACTCTTGAATAAAGGATGTGTGAAGAATTCTTGTAGCCCAAATTCCCCTCAGATCACATGGGATCCCCCTACCTTAACTGGCAGCCAAAAGCCCTCTTGCTGGCCCCACCAAGCTCACGTTGTTTT